TATTTGTATTAACTTGCTATGTTGGCAGCAATGAATACAAGTATTCTGTTATTGTGTAGGCTGATAGCGGTTAGCTGGGGCAGTACATCTCAGTTATGTTTGGTATACGAAGGACAATGAAGCTTTTGCTGGCTCAGTGATCAATGTTGGATCAAGTTCACTTTCACATTCCCAGCTCCCACTCACCGCCCACCTACACACGGGGCGGCACCACACCAAAACAACAACAAAGCATTTTTTGTTCCTTCCGGGCGAGTTGGCTTTATTTTTGTACATGCAGTTAGTTGGAGCTTCGCCTTCAGCAGGCACCGAAGAAATTCCATGCTAGCCCAGTGGCTGGCAGTCGGAGGAGCTCCTTCTCTTCGGGTGGAATGTTGTGTCGGCGGGAGGAGAATGCTCGCGCCTCCGGCACATCCGCGAGCGGCACCCGCAGCGGCCACGTGCAGCACTAACCCAAACCCACAACCCTGCTGTGCTGAAGGGACACGCCGCCAGCCGCACAGAGGAAGCGACAGTGTGCACTTTTATTAAGGCGGCAGGGATAGAGAGACACAACGTGTGTGAATCATTCATTCTTGCTGCTATCATAAACTTCCAACTATTCCGCGAGGACGCGTCGCAAGTTGTTTTCACGGTACTTTCTAGTGGATGCGGACTTGGGCTGGAGGAATGGAAGCATGAGCTGCAGAGAGAGTGGAGGGCGTAGGCTTGGGGGCGATAGATCTGGTGGATGTAGGTTGGAGGAAAGCAGTGCTAGTTAAATTGTGAAGTGAGTGGGTGTGGTGGGTTCAGGCTTGGAAGAGGAATATAATGGTTGTGGGCTGGGAGGAGAATGGTAGTGGATATGGGCAGAATGGAAAGGGGAGGTGAGTAGCAGACTAAGACCAACAAAGATGGACAAAGCAAGGTTATGGTGTTTTGACACATTGGACTCTGCTGCTGTAACTGCTTATGGTCTGGAGGTGAAATTCAAATCAAAAGCAAAATCAATAGTGGATTTAATTATAACTGAAAAGTAAGCTAAAGTTGTTGTTCCTTGAGATTTGAAAATGTGGAATTTCCGATTTCCTTTCTCCCTTCAGCCTCTTTTGGATGAAACACTGAAGTGGACAGAGAACCGACTGGTCTGTGAAGTGCAGAGTGAGGTGAGGACATTATTGTTTAATAAGTGGTTGTAAATGATAACTTGGAAGTTTGGCAAACTATTTTCATGCATCTCAAACATTATGTTTTGTCTTCTGTTTTTCTTTTAAGAATATACTAATTAATTTGGAAGATGTTTAACAAGGGAAAAAACAAACTTGACATGCAGCCAATCTACAATGATGGATTAAGTCTATTGAACATTGTCTTTAAATTATTTCCTGTTAGAAATATTTAGACTGGTGGGAAGTTTGAAGAACATAGTGCCTTAATGCCAAAATATGTGCTGAATAAAATGCATCATTTTCTTTAACTGGAGTTATCATTAACTCTAGGTTACAAAATGGATCAAGATCAATAAAAAAGACCGAGAAGACTCCCGTAAAAGAAAACGGAGCCAGAAGGATGAGATGAAATTCAAAGAAGTAAGTATGTAAAAGCTACTTAGAAGCACCGTGAGCTTGCTTCTGAAATATAGGGGTTTTTTTTGTTTAAGTACTAATACTTGTTTTCAAAGTATTGGAGGTGGATCAGTGAAAAATTGTGCTTGAAGTGGGAACAATACAAAATATAACAGGAGTTGAAAATGCAATTCTCATTATTATTCAATCATTTTTCAATTTTAATTTTTTTTAGCTTACTGCTCAACTTGATAAAATCAATTCTTTTTTGATTCAGTTTGCAAACTTGAAATTGATGCAATGGAAAATATTTAGGCAGTTTGTCTCTTGGACCAAGTTGGTGACATCTTTCCATTTCACAAAATGATGGATCCATGTTGATCCTCTGCAGGAGCAATTCATGTATGCCACTGCCCAGCCTTTTCCCCTATGCTGCTGCTGCAACAACTTTGTTTCTGTATAACAATCCAATTTATAATTGAATGCCTTGATTAAACCTGTCTCTACCACACTGTCTTGCAGTAGTTTCCAGATTATAGCCAAAGGCTGAATTTAAAAATAATCCTCATGTTGCGATTACTATTTTTGACAATTCCTAAATCTGTGCCATTTTATTCTTGGTCCTTTCATGCAGCAAAACAAATCAGTTGGGGATGGGGTAGCTTCATGTGCTGAACTGTTGCTCATGACTGTAGAGACAAATCAAACCAGAGGTAGGTCCTGCTACAAGTGCTGCATTTGAAGTGGTCATCAGTTGGTAATGACTGTAGCCAACCTACTGCAGCCACTGATCCCATGGAGATGCATGCCATCTGACAGATGATGCTTCCACTTTTCTCTGTTATTAGCTAGTGTCTTCCAAATGTGAGGTTTGATATTTAGAATCTTCATTTCAAGCATTCTTAAAGCAGAGATTTTAACATCTTACTGGTAAATTTGCCCTGGTTTCCTGATGACGCAGATACTGTTTCTGTCTTCTTTGACAACTTTACAGCTCTGTTTGATGAATAACAACAGACCTGAGAGCTTTGTCTTTTAGTGGGTGGCCACATTTGTGATTTTGTCTCTTCATGATATAGCCAGATCACGCTGCTAGCAGTGAAGATAGATCTTGTTGAACTTCTTTGCTTGATAGCTGTAAGTCGTCCATGTTTCACAGTCCTACAACAAGGTGCTGTAAACCCAGTACACCCACATGTTTGTTTGAAGAGTTGGCTTGATTTAATTCCATGCAAATTTTGAGAGTTAGTGAAAGATGGTAGGCTTTTTTTTCTATTTGCATGCCAAGTTCTGCATTAAGAGACAAATGGTCATCATGGAACCAAAATAGCAGACTTCGGTAACTTCTTCAAGTGTTATTAAGTGTGATCAGAGGTGGAGGTGTGACACCTTGTATCATGATCATGGTTTTCTTGGTGCTTACAGTTAAGGAGAACACATTACAATCCATGTAGTTCAGTTCCAATATGGACAGCTGTTGTTTGTAGATTGTAGCTTGTATATTGTGTTGAAAGCCTGTTTGTTATACTGCTGTTTATACTGTGGTGCTGTGGTGTTCCTGCTAATAGACAAAAGCAATTACATGTTTTCTAATAAACCTGTTCAAAGATTTAGTTGTGCATGTCTGAAACAATTGGGATTGAACACGGATATCCTGGTCCTGTGGGCTGGACACTAACACTACTACTGCATCACTAAAGCTCCCTTGTTCATTAAAGAAATGAATTAAAGGCAAAGAAGCAGTATTTTACACCAATTATTCTATTTTTTTCTCTCATCCTTAGATATGATTTCATATGTACCAACAGTTTTTGGTGTATTTCTCCCAGATGCGTGGAACATCTACAATAAGGTGGATGAACTAATCGCACAGATAGATGTAAACGGGTACAATATAACGGGGATTGCGGAGACATGGCTGCATGGTGACCAGGAATAGGATCTGAATGTCCCAGGGTATTCAGTATTTAGGAAGGACCGGCAAAAAGGAAAAGGTGGCAGGTGCTGGTTAAAGAGGAAATTAACTCAATAGTGAGAAAGGATATGAGCTCTGACAATGTGGAGTCTGTATGGGTATAGTTGAGAAATACCAAGGGGCAAAAAACATTAGTAGGTGTCATATATAGACCCCAAACTGCAGTGGTAATGACAAGAATGGCATTAAACAGAAAATCAGAGATGCATGTGATAAAGGAATATCGGTGATCATGGGCGATTTTAACCTGCACGTACATTGGGCAAATCAAATTAGCCACAATGCAGTAAAAGAGGAATTCCTAGAGTGTATGTAGGTGGTTTTCTTGACCAGTATATGGAGGAACCAACTTGAGAGCAGGCCATCTTAGACTGGGTGCTGTGTAATGACTGGAGAATCATTGCCAATCTAGTTGTGTGAGACCCCTTGGGGAAGAGCGACCATAACATGGTAGAATTTTTTATCAAGATGGAGAGTGCGGTTGTTGATTGGGAGACTATGGTGATGAACCTTAATAAAGGAAACTATGAGGATATGAGGAGTGAGTTGGCCTTGATATATTGGGGATAGTTACCTAAAGGGATTACAGTGGATTCTCAATGACAAACATTCAAGGAATGCAATGGGGAACTGCAACAACTGTCGCAAAAGGAAAATGGGTAAGAGGGCCAATCCATGGCTCACAAAGGAAATAAGAGATAGCATTCGGTCCAAGGAAGAAGCATACAGATTAGCCAAGAAAAATAATAAATCTGAGGATTGGGAGCAGTTTAGAATTCAGCAAAGAAGGACCAAGGGATTGATTAAGAAGGAGGAAATAGAGTACGAAAATAAGTTTGCTGGGAACATAAAGACTGACGCTAAGAGTTTATGTAGGTACATGAAGAGAAAGAGATTGGTAAAGACAGAAGCAGGGGAATGTATAACAGGGGACAAAGAAATGCCTGAGTAACTGAATACATACTTTGGTCTTGTCTTCACAAAAGAGGACACAAATCAGATACCAGAATTGTTGGAGGATGCAAGATTTAGTGAGAGGGAAGAGCTGAGAGAGATCAACAATAGTAGCGAAATGGTGTTGGGAAAATTGTTGGGATTGAAGGCCAATAAATCCCCAGGACCTGATAATCTACATGCCAGAGTACTTAAGGAAGTAGCTCTAGAAATAATGGATGCATTGGTGGTTATCTTCCAGTTTTCTGTAGACTCCAAAACAGGTCCTGCGGATTGGAGGGTGGCTAACGTCACTCCAAAATTCAAAAAGGGAGGTAGAGAGAAAACAAGGAATTAAGGACCAACATCGGTAGTGGGGAAATTTCTCAAATCCGTTGTCAAGGATTTTATAGCAGAGCATTTAAAAAGCAGTGGCAGGATCAGACAGAGTCAGCATGGATTTATGAAGGGGAAGTCATGCTTGAAAAATCTGTTGGAATTCTATGAAGATGTAACTGGTAGAGTTGACAAGGGGAAGCCAGTCATACAGTATATTTGCACTTTCAGAAAGCGTTTGACAAAGTCCCACATAAGAGATTAATGTGCAAGACTAAAGCAGATTGGGGGAAGGGTGTTGAGATGGATAGGCAACTGGTTCGCAGAGAGGAAACAAAGAGTTGGAATTAATGAGTCCTTTACAAATTGGCAGGCAGTAACTAGTGGGTTGCCACAGGGATCGGTGCTGGGCCTCCAGCCATTCCCAATATATATTAATGATTTGGATAAGGGAAGAAAATGTAACATCACCATGTTTGCAGATGATACCAAGTTGGTTGGGAGGGTGAACTGTGACAAGGATGCAGAGATCCTTTAGCATCATCTGGACAGGTTGGGTGGATGGGCAAATCAATGGCAGATGCAATATAATTTGGATAAATGTGAGGTTATTCACTTCAGAAGCAAAAACAAGAAGACAGATACTTACCTGAGTGGCTGTAAATTGGGAAAGGGGAGTGTGCAGCGGGACCTGGGTGTCCTTGTGCATTAGTCGCTGAAGGTAAACATGCAGGTGCAGCAGGCGGTAAAGAAGGCAAGTGGTATGTTGGCCTTCATTGCGAGTGGTTTGGAGTACAGGAGCAGGGATGTGTTGTTGCAGTTGTATAGGGCCTTGGTGAGACCACAACTGGAATATTGTGCGCAGTTTTGGTCTCCTTTTCCGAGGAAGGATGCTCTTACTCTCGAGGGAGTGCAGCGAAGGTTTACCAGGCTGATTCCGGGGATGGCGGGTCTGACGTATGAGGAGAGATTGACTAGGTTGGGATTGGTTTTGCTAGAATTCAGATGAATGAGGGAGAATTTCATAGAGACTTATAAAATTCTAACAGGACTGGATAGGGTGGATGCAGGGAGGATGTTCCCGATGGGATCACAGTATGAGGATGCGGGGTGGACGATTTAGGATGGAGGGAGGAGACATTTCTTCACGCAAAGAGTGGTGAGCCTGTGGAATTCATACCACAGGAGGTAGTTGATGTCAAAACATTGAATGTATTCAAGAGGCAACTAGATTTAGCACTTGGGGCGAATGAGATCAAAGGTTATGGGGAGAAAGCAGGATTAGGCTGTTGAGTTGGACGATCACCCATGATCGTGAAGATGGCAGAGCAGGCTTGAAGGGCTGAATGGCCTCCTCCTGCTCCTATTTTCTGTTTCTATGACTTTTCTAATTTTGTAAGTCTAGGCAATGAAGGTTGTTTGAGCACAGAGCACCTTTATGATTAAGCGTCATATTATTTTCACCTAGTATTAGCACCAATGCATTTTCTAGTAATGGTGATTGGTCAGATTGATTGTGAACTTTTTGTGATAATATGACAATATCTGCAGATGAGCAGCATTGAACAAAGTAATTGGGGAACTGAATTATATTGCAGTCTCTTGACCAGCCTTTAGCATGAGTACTCAATTTAGTGTTGGTTCCAAGAAATGAATAAGGCACTGAAACCTCAGAGGCAGTGCACAGAAGGACCACATTGCTAATTCCTGGACCAGTGGACTGAATTATGCAAAAATATGGAAAAGTTTAGGCTGTTCAATCTTGAAAGAATATAAATAA